TCTTCCCAACTAAGCATTCATTCACTATGTCTTAAAAACACACAGGGAGGTTTGAAGGTCTCATGAATGAAGCCAGTTGGGAAGACTGGCTTCCCTGGAGGGGTGCAGGTGAGTTTATGTGAATGGTTGTAATGTGCCATCAAATTTAATGCACACCTCACTTTTGGCTAAGCAAAAAGGTGAGCCTTAGATACAAGTAAATATAATAACTAGGGATGGAAAGGATGGATGACAATATTTGAAAAATAGATTTTGAAAGAAAAAAACATGTTTTTCAAACATTTTCAAGAATCTTGGACTACTGAAACCTTTCACAGCTTGAGACTTAATTAGGTGCAAAATACATACATGGCTGCTTTGAACAGAAAACAGCATTTTTGCACAGGACATGCCGTTTCTTGTTAAGAAAGAAAGAAAAAAGTGTGAATCTGAGAACAGAAAATGTCCTGAAATAGGCTTTGAAACCTATAACATTGCCCAACACACATTTTGGTGCCTCAAATGTTAGCCCTGTTTTTTGGTATATTTACCCTGGTGGTTACTATCAGCTCTAGTTTTTTGAAATACAGATCATATGCTATATACCAGTCATCATCTGCTCAACCATAGAAAACAATGATAAGCACATCTAAGAAACTAGAGCTGATATAGTCTATCCAATTCAATTTTCTGAATCAGCACCTCAATTAACCCCAAGAGCAGGCCAAAAAACCAGGGCACCAAGAAAAAATGTATTGGGCTGTGTCATTTTTGAAGGCATTCCCACAGAAGGAAGAAAATTGTTAACATCACTCATTGCCTTCCTTGAGAAGAAAACGAATGAAGAATTAAATCCCTACAAACAGCACACAAGGAGGTAAGAGCTTGAGAGAGTTATTTTTTGGACCACAGTTCCTGTAACTCCCAAAATCTGGGAACTGTGCTCCAAAAAGTAACCTCTCCAATTTAACTAGATTGAACTTGGATACATGAGGTGCCATATAACACAATTCAACACAACTGCATTCAGCAACTACATTTTACAGCAGTGCAGATGAGGCCTGAGTTTGCATAACACAACAAAAAATAGATGGGAATTAGTGCAGTGTCTTATTTCAGTTTTAGTCCTCTGGAGTAATAATTGGTTTCTGATTCAGTATTCTAATGCAGATTACAATATGCATGCCACATGTGTACATTTAAAAAAATGGGGGGAAGGGTGGAAGATTATTCACAGTTTCATTTGCCATATAACCAACTATAGTTATTAACCTGAATATGAGATATATTTACATTCATATATTACATTTACAAATACATATTTAATAAATGATGGCTGAGATCCTTTCTCAGCGTTTCTCAACCTGGGGGTCAGGACCCCTGGGAGGTCATAAGGGGTTGTCAGAAGGGTCGCCAAAGACCATCAGGAAACACAACATTTTCTGTTGGTCAAGGGGTTCTGTGTGGGAAGTTTGGCCCAATTCTATCATTGGTGGGGTTCAGAATGCTCTTCGATTGTAGGTGAACTATACATCCCAGCAACTACAACTCCCAAATGTCAAGGTCTATTTCCCCCAAACTCCACCAGTGTTCACATTTATGCACATTGAGTATTTGTGCCAAGTTTAATCCAGATCCATCATTATTTGAGTCCACAGTGCTTTCTCGATGTAGGTGAACTACAACTCCAAAACTCAAGGTCATTGTCCACCAAACCCTTCCAGTATTTTCTGTTTTTCATGGAAGTTCTGTGTGCCAAGTTTGGTTCAATTCCATCACTGGTGGAGTTCAGAATGCTCTTTGATTGTAAGTGAACTATAAATCCCAGCAACTACAACTCCCAAATGACAAAATAAATCCCCCCCCCCCCAACTCAACCAGTATTCAAATTTGAGCGTATTGGGAATGTGTGCCAAATTGGGTCCAATGAATGAAAATACATCTTTCATATCAGATATTTACATTACAATTCAAAATAGTATCAAAATTACAGTTATGAAGTAGGAACAAAAATAATTTTATGGCTGGGGGTCACCACAACATGAGGAACTGTATTATGGGGTCACGGCATTAGGAAGGTTGAGAACAACTGTCCTAGATGAATCTGGTAAAGTATAAATGTTCACCAGACAGAACTCAACTGTTTCTCTATGCTTCCAAAACAGGTGAACATTGACTCCCATATTGCCAAAATGACACCATTCGTGTACAAACAACAAATCAGCAGGCTTCATGGAAATTCAATATTTGCAGAATTTGCAAAGGGTAACAACACATGTGCATTTAGAGGCACTTTCCTCTTTAATTCATGGCAAAGACCAACCTGCTTGCATGAGCCATGGGGCTGCAGCTGGTTCTTACTTAGAATTTGCAAGTAATTTGTTAGTATAACAATCATGATGTGTATAATATTACTTTTGAGGGGCAATAGGGTGTGGAGGACAAACATGTTGGCTTTTGAGAAAAACTCTGCAGCGTAGGTCTCTACACACCATGCATTTTTCACACAATGCAAGTGGCCACCACTGCATCTACCTCTTTGATTGCTAAGCATTTATAAACAAGTTGTATGTGATGGGTGATACTAAAGAACCTGACTGCTTCTTTCTCATTGCGAATACAGGCCATTGACACAGTGGTATGTATCACTGGCAGCGCATATGGCTTAAGAAAAGCAGGAGAAGTGTTGGGAGGAATTAAAAAGTAGAGAAAGATTTCAAAAAAGAAAAAGACAAGAGACAAAGGCTTTAAGGAACTACCGGCTGTTAGAAATTGTGAGAGTTGAAGTCCAAAACACCTGGAGGGCCAAAGTTTGCCAATGCTGCTATATACTCCTGAAGAAGTTTAGAAATTTTAGCCAAAGAAACAACCAAGGCAGCATTGGTGCTTTCTCCTCTCTGGCAATGATCCTCAATTTATCTACAGGTCATATCAAAATCCTTAGTTTTGTCCCCCAAACCTGACCTTGAATTATACGTGAAGTTGACTTATACATGAGTATATACAGTAGTTAGAGACACTAGGGAGTGAGTTTTAGAGAAGCATGCAGAATTTTTGAAAAATACTCCAAGATTTTTTAAAGTGGCCAAACATCCCCACACCAATAAAAAAAAATCAATAATTATAGAATATCATAGAACAGCATTCCTCAACCTGGGGGGTCATGAGGGGAGTTTCAGAGGGGTCGCCAAAGACCATCAGAAAACATAGTATTTGCTGTTGGTCATAGGGTTTCAGTTTGGGAAGTTTGGACAATTCTATCATTGGAGGGGTTCAGAATGCTATTGATTGTTAGGCAAACTATAAATCCCAGCAATTACAACTACCAAATGTCAAGGTCTATTTTCCCCAAGCTCCACCAGTGTTCACATTTGGGCATATTGAGTATTTGTGCCAAGTTTGGTCCTGATCCATCATTATTTGAGTCCACAGTGCTTTCTGGATGTAGGTGAACTATCAACTCCCAAACACAAGGTCAATGTCCACGAAACCCTTCCAGAATTTTCTGTTTGTCATGGGAATTCTGTGTGCCAAGTTTGGTTCAATTCCATCATTGATAGAGTTCAGAATGCTCTTTGATTGTAGGTGAACTATAAATCCCAACAACTGCAACTCCTAAATGACAAAATCAGTCCTCCCCAACCTAATCAGTATTCAGATTTGGGTGTAGTGGGTATTTGTGCCAAATTTGGTCCAGTGAATGAAAATACATTCTGCATATCAAATACTTACATTACTATTCACAACAGTAGCAACAAAAATAATTATTTTTATGGATGGGGGTCACCACAACATGAGGAACTGTATTAATGGGTCATAGCATTAGGAAGGTTGAGAACCACTGTCATAGAATGACATTAAAAATGAGTGGCAGGAGTAAACTGCAGCACCAGAAGTAATAATGGTCATGAAAAAGCCAGCAGTCATGTTGCAAACTCGGCTTCTGCTGGTGAACCTCAGGGTTCTGGCCAAAAGGAAACTTAATCTTGCCAGCCTCAAGTCTACTTGTCTCTGCCTTATAACTGGAAAACTGTATTCATGGTCCTAGTCTGCTACTGTACATATCACACTAAAATAGAGCTCAGAACTGCAGGATTTTTTTCCTATGGAAGATTACTACTAGAATTCACATCTGTCTGCCCTCAGACGTTTAAATTTGACAAGTTTTAAGAAAGTGTTTAAAATACCATTTTTAAGAAACTGTTGAAATGATCAGCATGGTATTGATCATTCAATATTTTCTTATTCGTGACAAGAGCGCTATTGTTCTAGATCTGATGAGGAAATGCACTTCAAGTACAGCTTTAACTATGCAGAGACATTGCGGCACTGAAACAATTTTACACAGAAAGAGAGAGGAAGTTTTCCTCTTGTAACTGTCTCATGTTTCTTCCCGCTCCTTCTGACTTTTTCATTACCACAAAAAATAGAACAGAATAAAATAAATATAAATAAGACATATATCAATAAAGTGGAACAGATAGAATAGCTGGACATAGCCTTTGGACACATAAAATAGGGAACCCACCTGCAAATAGCTCAAAATAGGGAACCAAACCTGCAAATAGCTCAAAGGTTCACCTAGGCAAGTATTTTGTTTCAAATTGTAGCCAACCAAATGTTTCCAGAAAGCAACCAAATCAACCCTGTAACTATGTTTCTTTTTCTATTCTGTGATAAATTGTGTCTGAACATAGGCACATATTATGTTCAATTGCCCACTCAGCCCTAGAAATCCACTGGGTAACCGTGGAGAAGTAACACACTCAGCCCTGGAAAAGCCTGATACGAGTCACCTTAGGGTCACTATAGATCATAAACAACTTGAAGGCACACAACAACAGCAAAAAACAAAAAACAAATGTCAATCATAGAGGGTCAAAGCATTTTCAAAGCTGAGAAGAGGTTCTGCTACTTCCTTTAGATGGGAGCCGACCCAAGCAACGCCTTCCCCTGCTCTTCTGAACTTAACACTAGCCACTTTTCTCAACCAAGAACAAGGACTTTATCTCCACACTCACTCTGGGGTGTTGATCCAGATGATGTCCAAGTGGCAGTAATATACACACTCCTTATCCTTGTAGGTGTAGCAAGTGCAGCGTTTGGGTCGGTGGTGCACTTCTGCCGGGTCAGCTTCTGTCACCGAGAGTGGCCTTCTTGCTGTTGCTGCCTCGCTTTCTTTGCCAACTCTCTCCTGCAGCCCTGGTGACCTCAGCCCGCTGCCGTTGCCGCTGGGAGGCAGCAGGGGTCGAGAGACGGGCAACAAGAAGCCTAAAGGTCAAGGAGGAAAAGACACCAAGTCAGAAAAAAGGCAGTTCCTGCTGAAAATGGGCCACATTTGGGGGGAAATTCAAAGACAGACCCCCTGCCTTTTGGAGTGTGACCCCACCACTTTGAAGTTCATGATCCTCAGCATGTGGACTTAGAAATAAATTGTGCCATCTGTGTACTGAACATATAGAATGACAACCTCGAAAGACAGTTATGCCTAACAACAAATCAGGAGCTGTCGACCTATTTAACAATGGCAATACTTAATCAAAGAATCAGCAAGGGGAAGAAATGAGGAAACGGAGCAGGAGCAAACTAGAAGAGTACAAATACATTAAGGCTGCCAAACTGGTCTGTCTTGCCATATTTTAAAAGCGCTATGTTATCCCATGTGGCTGATACAATAAGAAGACTAATCTTGTGTGCTGGCTTCCAGATTAGTTTTTAACTCACAACTAGCATAAACTTAAGCCCCGGTGGCACACTGGGTTAAATCCTTGTGCTGGCAGGACTACTGAGCAACAGGTCAGCGGTTCCAATCTGGTGAGAGCACATATGAGCTCCCTCTGTCAGCTCCAGCTCCCTATGCGGGGACATGAGATAAACCTCTCACAAGGATGGTAAAACATCAAATATCTGGACATCCCCTGGGCAATGGCCTTGCAGACAGCCAATTCTCCCACACCAGAAGCGACTTGCAGGTTCTCAAGTTGCTCCTGATGCACACCAAAAAAAGCATGAAATTTAACCCTGTCTTCCAGATCTCAAACTGCAGGAGGCATTCCCAAGCTTCCTTAAATAATGAGAAATGAGAAAACAGAGGTATGGACTGTGAAAATGTCTTACAAGTTGCAACATGCACATGAGAGGATCCTCTCAGGACTTCTCATGCACAGGATTTTGGTAAAGGTCAGAGATAGCTTATCTACACAAGAAAAACTGCAACCATATTTTTAAGGGCATCAGTGGAGCAACACACCAGCATCTTTTTCTCTGAAACACTGCAGGCATCCATATAATACAGGCATGGGCAAACTTTGGTCCTCCAGGTGTTTTGGACTTTAACTCCCACAATTCCTAACAGTCTCAGGCCCCTTCCTTTTCCCCTTCAGATGCTTAAGTGGCTGAGGGTGGAGGAGGAAAGGGCCTGAGACTGTTAGGAATTGTGGGAATTGAAGTCCAAAACACCTGGAGGAACAAAGTTTGCCCATGCCTGCTATAACACCTGAGTGCTACTTTTGTTGTTGTTGTTGTTCATTCGTTCAGTCGTCTCCGATTCTTCATGATCTCATGGACCAGCCCACGCCAGAGCTCCCTGTCGGCCGTCACCACCCCCAGCTCCTTCAAGGTCCGTCCAGTCACTTCAAGGATGCCATCCATCCATCTTGCCCTTGGTCAGCCCCTCTTCCTTTTGCCTTCCACTTTCCCCAGTAAAAGTGCTACTTTTACACTGTGCCAAATGTGACATCAAAAAACTTTATTGGGCTTAATATTGTGGGGCTATTTTTCCATCTTCAAAGCACTTCAGATTATTCCAACGATAATCCTCCATATCTGGCAAAGGAGAAAGTCTCAATCTTATCACCACATTCTAACCAATATCAAGGATGTTTTTTTGCTTTTTCTATAGACACAAGTTCGTGTCAGAGCTTATACTCTTTCCTGAATATCACAGCCCCAGTATAAAAATGGATTCAATTCTGTTCAACCTTGAAAATACCAAACTCCACTAAGAAACACTTGTCTAATGAGATGTCTCAAAAACATCCTAGGTTTTATTGTATTTTGACTGTCACTATTTCCTGGACTGCAGAAACCGCTATAGAGATTTTATTTAAGATAAATAACAATTGTGCCCAATATATTGACAATTTTTTTCACCAAAATGGTTTTTTTTAGAGAGGAGATGCACATTTTTCAGAAATGTGTGTGTGTATGTCAACAGTGACTTGAGAAACTGTAGATCACTTCTGGTGTGAGAGAATTGGCCATTTGTAAGGACATTTCCCGAGGGACGCCCAGATGGATTTTGGTGTGTTACCATCCTTGTGGTAAGCTTCTCTCATGTCTCCACATGGAGAGCTGGAGCTGACAGAGGGCGCTCATCCACGCTCTCCCCAGATTCAAACCTCCAACCTGTCAGTCTTCAGTCCTGCCGGCACACAGATTTAACCCATTGCACCACCAGGAGCTCCATTTTTCAGAAGTTACATGCCTGAACTAAGATTCTGTTGTTCTTATCTTACTCTTTACTCAAGGAAGTTTATTCCCAAGCTTCCTTGAATAATGAGAAATGTGCAAACACAGGTATGGACTGTGAAAATGTCTTACATTTTGCAACATGCATGTGAGAGGATCCTCTCAGGTCCTTCTCATCCACAGGATTTTGGTAAAGGTCAGAGATAGCTTATCTACACAATAAAAATTGTTTTCCACACATTTAGGAAATGCATTAATCTTAGTACTAATTATTAATTACTAATTATTAATAACTAAGCATTAGACTTTCTGGATCTACTAGCATTTTTCACAACACTGACCAAGAAAGTTGGATAGACTTCAGTCTTGTGAAATGTACCATTGTTGTTTTCATTTCTTTTTACTGTCACCATCAGCACCCTGAAGTCCACTAAGAGAAGCCAAATCCAAAGTAATGGCTCAAGAAGATCTTCATTGAGCATCGCATGCTTTTTATTTATTTATTTCATATCAAAAGCATTGCATAAATAAGTATAAAACTGATAAAAAGTGAAGGATCACAAGCAGCTAAATGTTGTTTGACCAAAAATGGGCAACAGCGACCACATTGTCTGTAGCTTTAAACAATTCTTCCTCTGTACGTGAGGCCGAACATTGTAGACAAGCATACAGATGTGGAGTTGTTTGTTCTGCTCCACGTTCACACAAGGTGGAGGTTTCGTCTAAGTAGTGCCATTTTGCCAGGTTGTCTTTTGATCTGCCCACTCCACTTCTGAGTCTGTTCACGGACTTCCAAATTGCCCATTCTTGATTTGCCCCTGGAGGAAGTCCCTCCTGGAGGGCCATCCAATTGGGATTTTCTGGTTTAGCTGCCCAGATGGATACTGTTGCTAGGGGAATATTAAGAGGAGTGGTGGTTCTCGTGAAGTTTTTCCTTGATTTGAGTCTACTGGGAGGAGGCTGATAGCCATGCAGTGGAGGGCTTTCACAGTGTTCAAGCTTATTTCCCTCACAGCAGAAACTTCCCGTCACACATTGGGGTGGCAAAGCCAGCTAGCTGATGGCATCACATGGTGATGGCATGCACAAAACTGTCTTGTAGAACTGCTATTCTGCACCACATCCAAAATGAAAAATCCTCACAGATGCATAAAAAATCAATTTCTGGTTCCCCCATCACAGCAGATCCCTGCGCGCAAGTGTTCCCTTTCAGCATATAGGTGATTTGGATGCGGGTAGTTTATTCTTTGTTTCCTTCTGGAAACACTAGCTAAGAATAAGCAACCAGTGTGGATGTATTGCAGATCAGAGATCACCCACTATTTGATTGATGTATTGACTGATTGTTAGATAATCCATTTCAATCCCAGCTTTTGACCCAGTTGATTGTCGTCTACTTTCTGCCGTACCCCTGCTCTACAGCTCAACACCTTCAGTATCTATGCTATGACTTCAGTGGGGTTTATTCCCAAGCAAGTGCATTGAAGCAGTTCTTGAAAAAGTTACTTTTTTAAACCAGGGGTGATACAATTTTCACCAGGAAAGGGGGCGCTAATAACTGTTAACACTATGGTGGGGTCTCATGGCACCTTAAGGAGCCCCCGGTGATGCAGTGGGTTAAACCCCTGTGCCGGTAGGACTGAAGACCAACAGGTTGCAGATTTGAATCCGGGGAGAGGCAGATGAGCTCCCTCTATCAACTCCAGCTCCTCATGCGGGGAAATGAGAAAAGCCTCCCACAAGGATAAAAACATCAAATCATCCGGGCGTCCCCTGGGCAATGTCCTTGCAGATGACCAATTCTCTCACACCAGAAGCAACTTGCAGTTTCTCAAGTCGCTCCTGACACGACAAAAAAAATGGCACCTTAAAAACGAACATATCTAAGTTTGTTAAGTCCTGCTGGAAAATATAGATCAAGAATAGAGCTCCACAGCCACCTATGGACCCAACACCAAGACACTACACTTAGAGGACTATCATCCTCTGACAACGAGGTAAGTTGGTTTGAAGTGAGTTTTCAGTAACACACAGCAACCCATTGATTCTGGCCATGAAAGCTTTCGACAATACACCAAAGTCTAATATATCGTTGAAGGCTTTCATGGCTGGAATTACAGGGTTGTTGTAGGTTTTTTGGGATATATGGCCATGTTCTAGAAGCATTCTCTCCTGATGTTTTGCCTGCATCTATAGGAGGCATCCTCAGAGGTTGTGACCATATAGTCTGAAAAACCTATAACAACATGGCTGGAATTACTGGGTTGCTATAGGATTTTCGGGCTATATGGCCATGTTCTAGAAGCATTCTCTCCTGATGTTTTGCCTGCAGGTATGGGAGGCATCCTCAGAGGTTGTGACCATATAGTCCGAAAAACCTATAACAACATGTCTGGAATTACTGGGTTGCTGTAGGATTTTTGGGCTATATGGCCATGTTCTAGAAGCATTCTCTCCTGATGCTTTGCCTGCGTCTATGGCAGGCACCCTCAGAAGTTGTGACCATAGAGTCCAAAAAACCTATAACAACACGGCTGGAATTACTGGGTTGTTGTAGGATTTTCGGGCTATATGCCCATGTTCTAGAAGCATTCTCTCCTGATGTTTTGCCTGCATCTATGGGAGGCATCCTCAGAGGTTGTGACCATATAGCCCAAAAAACCTATAACAATCCACACCTAAGTCTTCCCAGATGGCAACCCTGACCTTTTCTGATGCATGGAGGAGACAAGTGCATCAGGCATTGTAATACAAAATAGTAAAATGTCAAGCTCTGCATGGAAGTCTGCAGAATTATATCCCCTTGCCTAGAAGCGACTGGCATGACATTCAATGGGTGCTATGCCTCCTTTGCAGAATTACTCTCTAGGGTTGCCCTTCAAATTGCCTGCAGACTTATGGCAATCTCGTGGATTTCATAGCGTTAGCAAGGAAAACCCAGAGATGGTTTTCCTCTAAAATAGAGCCTATAGCAGTGGTTCTCAACCTGGGGTCCCCTGATGTTTTTGGCCTAGAATTCCCAACCAATTTACCAGCTGTTAGGGTTTCTGGGAGTTGAAGGCCAAAAACATCTGGGGACTCCAGGTTGAGAACCACTGGCCTACAGTATTGTAGGTCTTCTAGACTGCCATATAATCCAGATGATCAAAGCAGGTAGTCCAGATGATCTGCTTTGGAGTGGATTATATGAGTCTAGACTGCCATATAATCCAGTTCAAAGCAGAGAATGTGGATTTCATAGAATTGTGTAGAAGGGGACTTAAATTCCCTAGTGGGCTCTTTGTTAGCCCAAGTCAAGTGTGCAAAACTCATCAAGCTAGACTGGGTTTGGGCCAAGTTGGGTTCTTCAGGGGTTTTGGACTCCAACTCCCACCATTCCTAACAGCCTCAGGCCCTTTCCTTTTCCCCCTCAGCCTCTTAAGCTGCAATGGGGGGAAAAGGAAAGGGCCTGAGGCTGTTAGGAATGGTGGGAGTTGGAGTCCAAAACCCCTGGAAGACCCAACTTGGCCCAATCCTGAGCTTGACTTTCAAGGTTCACAGGTTTCTTCATGGGACAAGTAGGGTAGCAAAGACTACGTTGAAGAGATGAATCTCTCAAAAAGTATCTGGACCCCCGAGCCCACCCCTCAAGAGGTCTCCTTTCCCGCTTTTACCTGTGCTGGAGAAAATGGAAAGTCCAACAAAGAGCAGAAATCCCGGCTCCATGAACTCCAAATGGCCTCCTCCACCTTGATTGAGGCAAATGCAGAAGAAGAAGCAAGGAAACGGGGGAAGACCCAAGGATAGTGGGGGGGAGGAAGGCGATCTCAAATAATAATAATAAGCCCGTCCACTAAAGAAGGAACCCAAACTCTTCTGCAGTTTGCGAAATTACTCGGAGCCGTCGAGGGAACCCCTCCCACTCCTTCACACGTTTCTCCGGAGTGGTAACGCGTTGGTAACGCCGTTGTTGCTGTAGGAGGAGGAGGAGGAGGAGGGTGAAGCTCTCTAGTCCAGGAGGAGAGAAGGGTGCAAACTCGCCACCGCGTCCATGGCTCGCTTTAGGGGACGAAGCCAATCCCTGCCGAGCTCTGTCTCGCTGCTTCACGGCTTCTATATAGGACTCAATGCGTCTCCGTTATCGCTTGGCTCGCCCATGCTGGCCCAGGTGGACCGGGAAGAAGGAACCGGAGAAAGGGAGCCGCTTCGGAAAGGCAGGCAACAGCAGCCGAGGAAGGAGACGCGACTCCGGCCAAGGCGACCCATCACTCGCCGGGGGTCTTAACCCAGCCGTCCGAGGGAGGGGAGGGGGTCCCCGGTGGAGAGGAGGAGGAGGGGGCGTGGCTGCCCGCACGGTCCTGGCCCCGATTGGCTCCCCACCCACTTGGGTTTTGCATAACGAGGTAAAAGGAGGCAGCCATTGGCTCGTTAGGTGACTGCGGGAATGGGAAGGGGGGAGTGAGTGAGGGTCCAGGTGCCCAGACTCATGCCTTACTCTTCATTGTTCCAAGCGGTGCTGGGTCTTTTCAGGAGGGGGGTGGGGGGGGGGGCTGTTGGTCTATTGCAGTCGTTCCCAATCATCCTAACGCCCTGACCCCTTAATACAGTTCCTCATGTTATGATGACCCCCAACCATAAAATTATTTCATAGAATCATAGAATCAAAGAGTTGGAAGAGACCTCATGGGCCATCCAGTCCAACCCCCTGCCAAGAAGCAGGAATATTGCATTCAAATCACCCCTGACAGATGGCCATCCAGCCTATTTTTAAAAGCTTCCAAAGAAGGAGCCTCCACCACATTCCGGGGCAGAGAGTTCCACTGCTGAACGGCCTTCAGAGTCAGGAAGTTCTTCCTCATGTTCAGATGGAATCTCCTCTCTTGTAGTTTGAAGCCATTTTTCCGTGTCCTAGTCTCCAAGGAAGCAGAAAACAAGCTTGCTCCCTCCTCCCTGTGGCTTCCTCTCACATATTTATACATGGCTATCATATCTCCTCTCAGCCTTCTCTTCTTCAGGCTAAACATGCCCCTTAAGCCACCTCATAGGGCTTGTTCTCCAGACCCTTGATCATTTTAGTCGCCCTCCTCTTGCCTTACTCTTCATTGTTCCAAGCGGTGCTGGGTCTTTTCAGGAGGGGGTTGGGGGGGGGCTGTTGGTCAATAGCAGTGGTCCCCAAGCTTCCTAACGCCCTGACCCCTTAATACAGTTCCTCATGTTATGGTGACTCCCCAACCATAAAATTATTATTATTTAGTTGCATCTACACTGTAGAATTTTTATTATTTTAAATATCCATATTAAGGTTTTTCAAATAGAATCAATAAAATGGGGTAAAAAGGGAAAGGAGTGGAAAGGGAGTGAGAGGGGAAGGGTAGAGTTGGGAACCCAAAATATAGCCAACTTGAGTATGTATTGTCGAAGGCTTTCATGGCCAGAATCACTGGGTTGTTGTAGGTTTTTTCAGGCTATATGGCCATGTTCTAGAGGCATTCTCTCCTGACGTTTCGCCTACATCTGTGGCAAGCATCCTCAGAGGTAATGGGGTCTGTTGGAACTAGGAAAATGGGTTTATATATCTGTGGAATGACCAGGGTGGGTCAAGGTGGGATTACCTTGCATTTGTTTTATATAAAATTGTTCCAAATGCCCAGGAATTTCCCTGTTTAAATACGACAACAATTGTATTACTAGGAGCCCCCGGTGGCACAGTGGGTTAAACCCCTGTGCTGGCAGGACTGAAGACCAACAGGTTGCAGGTTCGAATCCGGGGAGAGGCGGATGAGCTCCCTCTATCAGCTCCAGCTCCTCATGCGGGGACATGAGAGAAGCCTCCCACAAGGATGATTAAAACATCAAGTCATCTGGGCATCCCCTGGGCAACGTCCTTGCAGACCACACCAGAAGCGACTTGCAGTATGCCACCGTCTTGGGGAGGGGTGGGAGAAAAAGAAAATAAAAAAATAAAAAAATGGTAATAATGAAAAAAGAAAACATTATTTTATTTATTTATTTATTTATTTATTTGCAGCATTTATATTCCGCCCTTCTCACCCCGCAGGGGACTCAGGGCGGATTACAATGTACACATATATGGCAAACATTCAATGCCAAAGACACACAACAGATATAGACAGACAGTCAGAGGCTATTTAACTTTTCTGGCCGCCAGGGGAGCTGTCGCTTTCATCGTCCATCTGCGACACTGATGAAGTACTTCTGCATTCCCCGCATGCTTTTGCTGGAGTCTTTTTTATGGCCTCATAAATGAGTTAAATTAGCCTCCCCACACATAGGTGGTACCTAATTTTCCTACTTGACAGATCCAACTGTCTTTTGGGTTGCAAAGGTCGACAACAAGCTACACAATTGGTCGGAAGCTCACTCCGACCCAGGCTGGCTTCGAACTCATGACCTTTTGGTCAGAAGTGATCTTAATGCAGCTGACAATCAGACAGCTGCACCACAGTCCCATAGACTTCCATTCTTATTCCATTGTTGTCTTTCTCCCATTGTTTATCCAGAGAGTTTTCCCATATGTCTCTTTCTGGTGGTCAATATCTCTCTTACCTCTTTTTTTTTAAGTCGTCCTTGTGTATTTATTTTCTCTTTATTCTTCCAACATTGTCCAATCTGTTTCTTTCATTGGTCTTCCTGTACTTTTTCTCAAAAGGAAAGTTAGTCTATCCATATCTTTTATCTCTGACAGTTTGTCCAGCCGTTGCTCTATTTTTGGAATCTGCTCAGCTCTCCAGAATTTGGCAAAAGTTATTCATGCTGCTGTGGTGATTTTACATAAATAAAATGTCCTTATTTCTATCTAATTTTAAATCTTTGCCTGTTAATCCATAAAATTATTTTCATTGCTACTTCATAACTGTAATTTTGCTACTGTTATGAATCATAATGTACATATCTGATATGCAGGATGTATTTTTATTCACTGGAACAAATTTGATACAAATACTCAACATGCCCCAAATTTGAATACTGGTGGGGTTGGGCAGGGGCATTGATTTTGTCACTTGGGAGTTGTAATTGTTGGGATTTCTAGTTCACCTACAATCAAAGAGCATTCTAAACTCCACCAACAATGAAATCAAACTAATCTTGGCACACACAATTCCCATGACCAACAGAAAATACTGGAAGGATTTGGTGGGCATTGACCTTGAGTTTTGGAGTTATTTGTTTTGTATCAAAAGCATTGCATAAATTAGTCAAAAGCGATAAAGATAGAAGGAGTGCAGGTGGCTAAATATAGTTTGACCAGAAATGGGCAACAGCAATGGCATTGTCTGTAGTTTCCAACAATTCTTCCTCTGTACATGAGGCAGGGCATAGTGGACAAGCATACAGATGTGGAGTTGTCTGTTCTGCTCCACAGTCACACAAGGTTTGGGATTCTTTTAGGTAGTGCCATTTTGCCAGGTTGTCTTTTGATCTGCCCACTCCACTTCTGAGTCTGTTCAGTGAATTCCAAGTTGCCCATTCTTTGTTTTCCCCTGGAGGAAGACCCTAATTGGGGGGGGGCATCAAGTTGTGATTTCTTGGTTTATCTGCCCAGAGTGATACCCTTGCTCAAAACAATGATGGATCTGGACCAAACTTGGCATGCATATTCAATATGCCCAAATGTGAACACTGGTGGAGTTTGGGGAAAATAGACCTTGGCATTTGGGAGTTGTAGTTGCTGGGATTTATAATTCACCTACAATCAAAGAGCATTCTGAACTCCACCAACAATATAATCGGGCCAAGCTTCCTACAAAGAACCCCATGACCAACAGGAAACACTATGTTTTCTGATGGTCTTTGGTAACCCTTCTGACACCCCCTTGCCACCACCCCCCTGGTTCCAAACCACCAGGTTGAGAAACGTTGGTCTATTGACTTGTGCCTTACTGCCTGGGGAAATTCTTTGTTGGGAGGTGATTAGCTGGCATTGATTGCTTCTTGTCTGGAATTCCCCTGTTTTGGGTGTTGTTCTTTATGTACTGTTATGATTTTAGAAGTTTTTTAATACTGGTAACCCCATTGGCACAGTGGGTTCCCCCACTTCCCCCACAGACACGCACAAGGGCATCTACATCAGGCATGGGCCCAATTGGGCCCTCCAGGTATTTTGGACTTCAACTCCCACAAAGTGGGTGGGGAGACAATCGATGGCCAAAATAGCCAATGAGATTTTGGCCTGGATAAATAGGAGTTAGTGTCTATATATATATATATATATATATATATATATATATATATATATATGAACCATAGTTAGCTGAACCTGTACGTACAATACTGGTGGATGCAGAGGGTCAACTTTGTAGTCAGGACATGTTCTACGTGGGATGCTCTTCACTACAGATTTTTATTGTATTTATTATTTTTAAAATATGATATGTCTTAGCTTCCCTCCTTCCCCACACAAATGGTGGCTACCAACTGCTTTTGATGCCAGTGGTCTTGCTTCCAAACAGTGAGATCCTTGCTAAGAGATGGCGAACACTTCTCAGTGTCTTTCCAAGGTCCTGATATAGCTACAGCTGCTATTGCCTTCCTCAGCTGTGGGGGGAATGGGTCAAGAGTCAGTCAAAGGCAGCAACCTCTGTTGGTGGTCAAAGCAAAAGTATGATCATTACCTCTAGGCTATGTCCAACTATACTTAACTTGCAGGCTATAAAGCTGTTCTATGCCATAAATCTATGCCCCATTTGCTAGGGTCTGCTGAACCAATTATAGTTGCTAGTTGTTAGTATTCCCAAAGGATTTTTGAAAAACTCCAGGACAGCCTGACAGTATTATTGCCTCCTTGTTTTGGCTGAAAAGCAATATCTCAGCACCAGTTTGAAACATTCTGGTGTGTCTCAACACAAAGGTATCCAGACACTGCCTGAGCTATGCTGATGATACACTGGTTGATGGACATCATTCCCTTTCTGCTTCTTTGGGGGAGATAAAATGTGAAGAAACTCTAAACCTGCACATTGTGGTAAGAAAATTAGATGTTTCTGTAGAGCTAGGAATGAAATATTGGACCATTGCAAAGCTCGTAGCACAGCAATGAATCAATTAAAATAGGTATATGCATGCTCCAAACTGACATCTATGCAAAGTGAGAAGCAGCAACTATAACTGTTGTAGTTAATATCTCAGGGTTTTTGTGAGTTTTCCAGGCTGTATGGCCATGTTCCAGAAGCATTCTCTCCTGACGTTTCACCTGTATCTGTGGCAGGCATCCTCAGAGGTTGTCAGGTCTGTTGGAAACTAGGAAAATTGGGTTTATATATCTGTGGAATGTCCAGGGTGG